GTAGGGAAACAAAAAAGATTACAGCTGAACCCCACCCTGGTTAAGTAAATGTGTCTTCCATTAAAGCCTGTATCACATTCAAGGAAAAAGTGATCATAACTGTAGCTTGATCCAAGATTATGGGCTTGAATTAAAGAAGTCCAATAAATACTTCATAGAAGCTTGTTCGTATTATGTCTCCTATGGCTTCTCCATCTTTTGGACAAACAGAAGACTGTGGAATCCATGCAAGGGAGACAGTGTATCTGTCAGAAGAGATAGGGAATCTTTCCTAGGATCTGAACTGTCATGAAGCTCAAAAGTGACATTGACTGTAGAAGTCATCACTTTCTTCAATGAGTCAGTATTCTGGCTAGTTAATATGCTAAACAAAATGTCTGACAAAGAATGCCACTTCTGTGGTAATAAAAAATGTAACATCCAAAGAATCTCCTTTAAAGATGCCCTATTTATTATTGACAGTAACTTGCATATGTCAGAACTAAAGTATGACAAGTATAATTTAATCCCTGGCAATAAGCACACATCTGTGTAGGTTCTACGATAGAAGTACTTACATCCCAACCAGGATAGTCTGATTCTTACCTCTTGCTGCTTAAACCAGCTGAACTCCTTTCTTTTCCTGTGAAGGAAAGACTGACATATCTCAAATGTGCTTCTACAATAACCTTGTAGAAGGTTATTATAATAGGTTGTCTGTCCTGGAAAGACAAGTTGTTGGTTGGTTTCCTGGAAGCTTGAGACCACCTTTGCCAAGATATATTGCAATAATTGATCTCCCATAGGTTCCCGTATACAGTTGCATGTAAATGCTTCTTGTGAATAAAGGGGAAATAAATCATTGTTGCTGTCTGTCTTGAACTCCTTCTCAGGCTCTGGAGGACCGTCCAAGTTCCTTGCTGGTAGATCAAGGTGACAGCAGCAGTCCATCCTTCAACCCTTCAGATAACTCCCTTCTCTCCTCATCATCACCCATAGATGAGATGGAAGAAAGGAAATCCAGCTCCTTAAAAAGACGACAGTAAGACCACATTTTCAGTCCTTTTTTGACAATGTTTTGAAGAGATAAATGTTTTTAAAATGTCCATTTTGAACTGGCAGCAGAAACTGTTAATCTGGAAGGGGGAGGACTTGTGTTAGGTGTCAAGCATGCAGTCACATTATGCAAAGAAAAAAAAATTCTTAAACAGTCACAGTTTCAATTGCCTGTGATTTTTAATTTTAGTTACACCTGTGTTTGACTTTTGTTACATGTCAGTCTCAGTTATGCAGGAAGACAATGATGTTTAAATGTTTAGAGGGTGATTAGCCTGCAAAAAACTGGTCGTTCCCCTTGTTCTGTTCCAGCACACTCTTAATTTCTTTATGTAATAGTAAACTGTTACCATGGTAGAACAAAAACATGCCTGGTTTCAAAATTATTTAAATCTCTGGGTAGAAATAACAATTCATACACTTAAGTCTCCAGACCAGAGACATAATAGCATTTTATTTTAAACAATAGTTAAATGTTTAATTTTAATGACACGTGTAAGAAAACATTTGACTTTAGATAAACAGAATTAAGCCTGCTTCAGTTCCAAAGTCCAGCATTTTGCTTAGAAAAAATGTGCATTAATTCTTCCATTTCAGCTCTGCTTATCAAACATAGGTGACTGCAAATGTCTGAAAATCTGTATGCCATTAATCCTCTTTAAGAATCTGTTTCATTTTTTTAATGAAATGTGTGTTCACCATTTTCTTTCCACTGTAGCTACGTCTTACAGGAATTAGTGGAGACAGAGCGAGATTATGTACGAGATCTGGGCTATGTAGTTGAGGTATGATGTTTTTCATTCTCTTGATTTTTCTTTTTTTGTTTGTTTGTTTTTTTCTTAATGTAGTACCGACCAGCTGTGTAGCTTGAACCTCATAGTTTTTTCAAAACAAAGCACAGGAAGAAACTGGAAATCTGAAAGTTTGCGTTCTGAGTTTTCCCTCCTGCAGGCTTTTAACATATTAGAAATACTACATCAGATCTCACTCCTTTTTTTCTTCCTGTTATTGTGTTACCTTATTGTTCTTCTGAGGAGTGTAGTTAGTAATTTTTTTAAGATCACTACCTCTGGCTAGATGGTTTTATTTAGCACAACTAAATTCAAAAAAGCATTGTAACTCAGCAGGTAGAGGAACTGTCCTGGATTTGAAAGACTTGCTTCCTCTCGTACTGCTAGGCTTCTCTTAGACTTCCTAGTTTCCCCTTCTGTAAAATGAGATAATGTCACACATCTCCCTTCAGTCTTCAGCTACCAACAAAATGCATTTGGAACAGTAGAGAGAATGAACATGACAGTGAATTTCAGCCTAACAAGGTCCAATTTCTTAAACTCTGTTTGGGAGGGAGGGAGGGAGGGAAAGAAAGATCAGCCAAAAAAGAAAAAAAAAAAAGTCTTTTTACAGTATTTAAAGGGTGCATTAGAAGGCTATGAACAGATGTATTTTTGTAACTAACAAAATAATTCCTGATGAAAAAGCTAGACATCAAGATACAAACTTTGCAAACTAAAACCAGACCTGGCTAATTAGGCATAGAAGTATTAGGAAAAAATAGAGGGAATAGAGTTGCATGCATATTACAAGACTTAAAAATACTCCCAGCTCTATGTGATAGAATTGCACAGTGAGACAAGTGTATATGTATATATACATCAAAAAAGAGAAGATGGGACTATGGGAAAATGTAAAAAGAACTTTATTGCAGCCAGAATGCTTACTGATAGAATTGACGTTCAATTTTTTTGGTGTTCAATTTGCTTATACCACAAGTAGTAGTCCATGCAGTGCAGTCCCATATGCAGTGCAGCTGCTTTCTTCCTCAGCGCACTTCAGCGTAGGGTTAGTGTGAATGACTGAAATAAGAAACACTGAGCAAAGGAGTGCAGAAGCCAGTTCAGTGACTCTGACTTGTACTTGGTAACAGCTCTACATGGCAAAGTATTGCAGCTGCTTCAGACAATAAGGAGAAGGGCTGTAGAAGTTTCCTCTGTGCTTTGAGCCTGTCCACACAGGCTAAATTAGCTAGAGTGAATTCATCTTTCTAGCACTGGGCAGTGTTGTGCAGACAACCTCAAGCCAATTTGTGATATTTTGTGTCTATGCTCTGTGTTATGCTATGTTATAGCACAGTTTTTTGGTTTGTTTCTGTGTCCCAAGCAAGCTGTTGGCGTGGGCAATCTGGAAGGCTTCTGGGAAAAGGGGGATTAAAAGACAACTCACTTCCTTTAAGTTAAAATGTTCACAGTGAATTTCCTTGGACTGTTGCAGGGTTATATGGCACTTATGAAGGAAGATGGCGTACCTGATGACATGAAAGGCAAAGACAAGATTGTATTTGGAAACATTCACCAGATTTATGACTGGCACAGAGAGTATG